TTTTTTTACAGATAAAAAAAATCAGTTTTGTGAATAGAGAACTTCAAGCTTCAATCCCCCAAAAAACATTCAAGGACTTTCAAGGACAAGTGTAATTTTTGGCAGCTTTCACAAACTTTTCAGGGCCATGAATTATCTTTTTTTTTTTTCAAATTCACAAACTTTCAAGGATTTCAAGGACCCGTGGGAACCCTGCGCAAAGTCAGCATCTCACAGTTCTGACTGGGGGCGATGTACAAGACGGCTGTCACCGGGGGATAGCAGTGGGAGAGCAGACGGAAGTTGCACAATATTTGTCACTCAGCAGGGGGGACGAGACGTGCACCTCGAAGTATAAACCAGGCTTTAACCCTACTTTTACTTCAGCTGGAGTATGATGAAGCCTTTACTCAGACTTACCAAAGGTTGTCGTTTGGTGTCCTGAAGGATCGTCATTGGTTCTGGGTTTGGAACTGCATGGCCAACAATAGTTGGACCAAAAACTCGGGAGAGGTTACTGATGTCCATCTTAGTGTCCAAACTGTCAGCAACTCTGAAAGATTTCATTAAAGACTTGGTTTATATCTGACACGTAAATGAAATAACACTTCCAAAAAGTGTATTTGTTTCTTTTTAAAAACTTACTAAAGTCAGTTTTAAAAGGTACATGTATATATTTTAACTTCAATCAATTTGACTCGATTGATTGTAAAGGACACAGTAGAGTTGTGGGAGAACTCTAAAAAGTGAGACTAATCAACTGTAAATGTCAGTAAAACCAAATATGTGTCTGGAATAATAAATAAAGAAATAGATGTCAGAGATTGGTGCCATGAACCTTTTCAAGTGTAGAACTAAGAAGGCCAGCGTGTCTCTGTTGGGCTGAGGCAGGTCACTAATTGTCTCGTACATCAGAGCCTTGCTGTTGTCTTCATCTGAAACCTCTGTGAAWCAGAGAAACCATTTGCTCACAGGCCAAGACATTGGACAGAATTTTTAAGCAACTTCGAACGGAAAATGTTTCCAACCCCAGCAACAAGCACTCAAACAAAACAACCAGTTTCTTTATGTGGCAGATAACTTTGCCCCAGAGGTTTCCTTCACTCCGCAGAACAAATTGCCAAACAGAGCACGAGCACTTATGAAGCTGCATTTAATGGCTGTGTTGGGTATATTTCTGTACTCTGTTCACACGTTTCAATGTCACAGTTGCTTCAGGTACTACAAAACAAAAACATTATTTATTTACCAATAACTTTCTTATAAAGGTTTCTCATTCAGACCAACCTACCCGCTGCCTCCATGAAGGCCCGGTTCAGACGGAAAGTCAGGAGGGGCTCCTTCAGGTTCCTCAGGAAGTCCTTGAGGAGGCCGGTAATGGCGTGGATATCATCTACCTTGCTGAGCACAGGAACAGTTTTACTGCGGAGGAACTTCTCTTTCAGCTCCTTCACTGTGCGATCAGCGCCGGACAGACGGTACAGCCCAGCCTGAGGGAGAGAAATCAACAAAACTAACATTATTATGCTATACAGTTAAAATTAGACTCATCGTGACTCGGTGCAGGAAAAGTGTTATGGTTGCATTAATTTGATGAAATAAAAAAAAAGTTTTTTTGGTAAAACTTGCAATTGTACATTCAACACAATTCAAGATGTTATTTCTACAAAAAAAAAGAGAGAGATTTTGTTGTATTTTTGTGACAAATGATGCCAAACAACTTTGGGATCCATCACCTTGTATTGGAACATTGTGGCCTTTACTTTTACTCAACTTCCTGCTATCTGATTGGATTTATTTGCTTTAATTTAAATTATCTATTTTGAATGAGCAAAAGAGTTTACAGAAAATGTTTAGGGAGGGAAAAAAAGAAAAAGAAAATGTGAAAATTGGTAAACATAGACTTCATTTTTTGCTGAATTAGTTTACATGGCTTCACTGCTTACAATTTTGAAACATCAAAGTTAGTTGCTCAATTTAACAGTTATTTGCCATGTTTTGATTGGCTGTGTCCAAAATGGYAGGCTGGGTCCTCCGAAGGCCGAATTCGTCGACCACATACGTCACAGCGCCGCGACGAAGGACGTCCAAAACCGAAGACTCCTCCGATGCGGCCGACAAATACGTCCTTCCTTTTCCTCGATTTGAAGGACAGGTCTGATGGATCCTTCCCGGCCCAGAATATCCCATAATGCTTTGCGGCCCGACCGGAGATTTTTTAAAGCTAGTAATGGCGGACGAAGCGAGACAAAAGAATATGTTTTAAATAAAAATTTGGCGATATAAAAATTAACTTTTTTTAGTGGTTGTAATTCTAATACTTTTATCATTTGTATAGACATGTTTTTAAATGTTATTTTTGTCATAAAAAACATGAAATAAACATGCACCTACAGCGGGTCAATTAGTTCTTCAAATGTTACCTTTAAGTTAATTTTATAGTTTTGTGATATTAATAATGCTAATGTATTGATATTTTTCTAGTTTTGATTTAAGTTTGCTTGTTTAGCGTCGTCACAGTTGCTAGGTGACATGATGTAAGGACGGGACACTAGACCGTCCAAATTCACAGCCTCTTTTATTCCGGTCTTCCCGGTCTACCAAGGACCCGGCCCACCTCGATCGGGTAGTCTGGGTCCTCCGGAGGACCCGGCCTGTCGTTTTGGACACAGCCTTTGAGTGTTTGTTTGAATCAACAAARCTGATTGGTTGGCAAGTCTTTGAAATAAACAAGCTTCTCAGTCTGAACTAAAGCTGGTGGGTCATTGGTTATTAATTGTTGGCTGCACACTGACTCCACTCCTCTCTCATATAACTACAGACTGTGCGCCAATTGAATTGGTGTACATAGGTTTTATCCTTTATCCTTAGTATTTTCTATATTTCTTATATTTTATACTTACTGCACTTTTACACCGAAGCAAATTCCTAGTCTGTGAATCCTGTTCATTGACAATGGCAATAAATCTGATTCTGAAGATGTCTCGTTAAAGACAGTTTTAATTAAATTATTGGTTGGGAGTTACCTGCCATCCTGCTTTCAGTTTTGGTTCTTGGTTTAGTTTAGGGAATCATGGGGAGCAGCCCAAACTAGAAGGTCAACTACACGACTGGTTCAAGGTCGTTCTCCTTTTTTGTCTGTTTGTTTTAGTCAGAGCTACAAAATCTAGAGGTGCACCGATTGTTTTCTGGCTGATCTCCGATCTTTAAAAAGTCTGACCTGCCGATTCCGATTTTGGCCGATACAGATTTTTTAAAAAGTTGACACTGTCAGGTGTTATAAGGTCACAATAAAACTTCAATATTCCAATGTTATATTACTGAAAAACGTTGAACAATACCCTTGAAAMAATACAAACTTATAAGTGCTCACAACAAAGCAAAAGGGGATAGTGGCTGATTTTCAGACTGTGGAGGTAGAGAAGCTGATCTTTTCCATCGATCTTTTCCAAGGATCGGACAACCTCTGATCTCCCAAAATTAAGGAAATTGATACCCCTAACAAAATCCCTTTGGTTTGACAGTATTGTTTCAAGTAAACTTTGTTTAAAACATTGCAGTCCTCTAAACTTCCTATGTTAAATGTTCTTGTCACTCTGTGACACACAGACCATAACCATGGCTATTTTCCCCCTTAATTTGTCATATTTTCTATAGACTCTATTTTGAAACAAAACTTGACACACATCAGGTCAAGCACTACAAAGACAAAGCTTTTCTGCTACATAAACAACACCAAAGCGTAAGCTGAAACAAAAAGCAAATACTTCCCAACAACTAGAGTTTTAAAGAAAATCCTACACGTGGTTAACTTTGAGGATGAGAAAGGAGCAACATTAAAAAAACAAAAAGAAAAGACAGCAGCAAAATCACAGAAATCTAATYTGGAGCATTTCAAAGGCCAAACTATTAATCTTATTCCACAGGAACAGATTGTAAAACTCTAAGTTACAGCTTTCTTGTCTCAGCTTAAGAGGAGGACATTAAAAGTGAGACGTGTTTCTTTAAGAGTGAAATACTGCTCACCTCCTGCAGTCCTCTGTGTTCAATCTCATTCACACAGTGCACCACGAGGGGGGGGATCATCGGGGCTGAGTCTGGGACGTAGTCTGCGAGGACCCCCTGAGGAGACAAAGGTGAAAGTGGGTAAACTTTCCATATAAACYTAAATAAGATAATGCAGATGTGATGACACACCTCCCCGATTCTGACCGGTGTTCCACCCAGGTTGGGGATGCACGGCAGGGGGCACCGCTCACGACATTCAGGGTGAGAGACCACCTTGCAGTCACGACATTTCAGTGAAATCTTGCCAAACTTAATCCTCTTTCCACATGGCACACAAGACTCCGGCTTAATTACCTACAAGAAACGTGTATTTTTTTTATTCTAAAATAAACAGGACCATGTACGAGTTCAGTGCATTCAATGAGGTGCTGAAAAGGTTGTAACAAACTCTAAAACGAGTAATAAAAAAAAAATACCTGAAACAACGTATTTAGAATACAGATACCCACAAATAAGTTAATTTGGCTMGTCGTTTTTGTAGCATGAAAAACATTTAGGCTGAGATGAAAAATCTTGTTGTAATCCATTTAAAAAAAAACACATCTACAACAAATAATCCAGTGTTCAACATTCTTACAGTTTTGGAAACAAACTCGTGCAGACGGACGCATCCTTTGCTCTGGGGAGTGCTTGCATCAGCTTTCATTTCTCCCTCCAGGTTTTCAGGTGGCTTGAAAACATCCTGAGACTTGACAGATTCAGAGTCCCACTCCATAGCAGCTGAACAGGAGAGATGAAAAAGCATCCATTTGTCAAAAAAATTATACATCTTTTAATTAATTATACCGATTCAAATGTAGCAACCAGCTGTTTACACAACTAAATGTTTAAAATTTTACTTGAGTTCATTAACAGTTCAGATCATTTCAGTGGATAAAATCATGAACCAATTTAACCAGATAAGAAGATGGAAAGTAAAACTGATAAATAGCATATAGACTGAAAATCACACTTATTTGTTTGTTAAAGGGGACCTATTATGCAAAACTCACTTTTTAAAAGGTTTTTTTACTCAACTTTGGGTATGTACTTCTTCAAAAAACAGTCCTAGGACCAAAAAAATACACCCAGGGGCATATTTACTGTAAGTAAATGTATTTTTAATGTACATTAACGACAAGTTTTATACTTCCGTTAGTTTGTGATGTCACAAGTCGTACGACAATCCACCAGAACCTATGTTCAGCCCCTTACCTGGCAATCCCCGGGTGAAGCTCCACCTCCTCAGTATAAAAAGTCGTCACAGTGTTGTTGTGCAATGTGCAGCTCATTTCACAACAAGCCTCCAATAGGGCAATGGGTAGAGTGTTG